ATCATCTGACAATTTAGTATCTCATTAATGTTTCTTCTGTAAGTATCAATGTGATAATCTATCTTCTGGAAGAAAAGTTACAATAAAAAAATCTGGAAAACAAGAATTGTACTATTATTGTACAAAATAAAGCAGCTTCTCTCTATAGGGTTCTAGAAGCTTTATGAATTCTTAGAGCTAATGAAGACCGTGATTAAATACTAACTGAAATGAGAAAATCTTTTTTTTATTATTATTTTTTAAAGATTTTATTTTTATTTATTTGACAGAGAGAGAAAGATCACAAGTATGAAGAGAAGCAGGCAGAGGGGGAGAGGGGAAGCAGGCCCCCTGCTGAGCAGAGAGCCTGATGTGGGACTCCATCCCAGGACTCTGGGATCATGACCTGAGAGAAGGCAGAGGCTTAACCCACTGAGCCACCCAGGCACCCCGAGAAAATCTTTTTGAAAGAAATTGTGTAGCATAGTGCCTGCATATTAATAGGCACTCAGTTACCATGGGCTCCCACTTCTTTGTCTCTGAGCACCAATGCCTAACACATTAAGTTCCCTGATCAAGGTTAAAAACATCTGCAAATAGAGGTAGGGTAGGAAAGTGGTTAGGCCCACAGACTGGTGTCAGACCAGTGGAGTGTGAACTCTGTATCTGCCACTTATTAGCTATTTAATGTTCTGGAAAAATGAGGATGGAGAACAGTATCTGCCTCACAAGGTTATTTGGAATGATAAAATGAGATCGCTCCGGTCAAGTCCTTGGAAATCTGGCTAGCACTCAGTAAGTATTAGCTAGTAATAATGCTTTTGAGAACCTACGGTGTTCCAGGCACTGTGCTAGTGCATTGCATATATATATTCCTCATGACATCCCTTGCAAAGCAGGTACAACTTTCATTTCATAAAAAGGAAATGGATTTAGAGAGGGTAACCAGCCTAGACTTAAGGTCAGTGGCAGGGCCAGGGCTCATGACATGTTTTTTGAATCTGTCTGCCTTTCAAAATCTTCTATCTTCACTTTGAAACTGTTTGATGAGTATTAAGAAAAGTGATTGAGGTGCCTGGGTGGCTTAGTCATTAAGCATCTGCCTTTGGCTCAGATCATGATCCCAGGGTTCTGGGATAGAGTCCTACATCTGGCTCCCTGCTCAGCGGAAAGCCTGCTTCTCCCTCTCCCACTCCCCCTGCTTGTCTTCCCTCTCTCACTGTGTCTCTCTCTGTCAAATAAATAAATAAAATCTTTTAAAAAAGAGTGGTGAAAAGTTGTACTGTCTTAAATACGAAGTACAAAACAATAAACATCTTTCAGCAGCCATGCTCAGATAAACTTTTGTCACCCAAATCAAACCATGAGTAAAAAAAAATTTTTTTTAACAGAATTTACTGTGGTCTTGAGGTTCTAATCCTAGTATTGTCACCAGCAAGCTTTTGCTAAGTCCCTGTTTCATCATCTCTTAAATGAAATTTTGAGTTATGAAATCACAGAACCTTCTCTAAATTCTTTTCTTCCTATTGGTCTAAAGGCATTTCAGCAAGCTGTTGCTGCCATCCAGAGGAGAAAATATTGTTGCAGGCTCAAAGAAGGCATTCTAGCAGTATTAGACTACACTGACAACAGTGTGTATCTACTATGTGCCAGGCAGTTCCTTGGGCATATTCTATGTGTATTTCTATTCTGGAAGGTAGGTATTACCCATGTTTTAAGTTGAGAAATCATTAAAGATTTTTTTTTTATCGTTAAAGAATTTAAGTAACTTGTTGCAGGTCACCCAACTTTTAATATGTAACTGAATTGTTTTGAGTCTGATGTTTTTATACAACGAGAGGAACCAAAATAGAAGCATCTTGCATAAGGAGGCAGTGTTTTTGCAACTCCATCCTTTCAGCCAGAGCACAGCATAGGCTATCCCCACGAGGACCCCGGACCTGGGCAACAGCACGTAGTTCCATGTGCACCTCTTAATCTAGTTAAAGCTGTCACTACTCTAGCATAAAAATTATTTGTTCATTGTGATAAAATGCAGAGTCCCGTATCTCGAAACTCTGATTCAAGGTCTGGAGTTGGGCTCAGGAACCTCCATTTTGGGGCACCTGAGTGGCTCAGTCCCTTAAGTATCTGTCTCTTGATCTCAGCTCATGTCATGATCTCAGGATCTTGAGTTCAAGACCCATGTCAGGCTCCATGCTGAGGTGGAGCCTACTTTAAAAAAAGGAGGGGGGGGGAATCTGCACTTTATGTATGTATGTATGTAATCTACATTTTAAATAAGTGTTCTAGGTGACTCTAGCTTAGCTGAGAAACACTGCTCGGTCATACTGGATTGTGGTTTCTGTAGGGGGCCTGAAACTGTAAATAGTTTCCTGAGACCTACCTGGGATGTACACCATTTACCTTTCCAAAATGGGCTGCCAAACTGCAGATGGCATTTCTAAACCTGGTGTTTGCGCTCCAGGCCCAAGATGGGCTTGAGGCTCTCTGGATAGGAAACTGCCCTGAGTCTTGCAATCTTGCCTCAAGATTTCATGGGTATAAAAGGTATTTCATAGTATACCAATCATGCCAATCATGATATCCAGTTTCCCTTTCTAGTTCATACAGCGTCACCCACAGCCCCCTACTTGGCATTAGGTAGTGTTTTTTGTGCAGGTGAAATCATGGGGACCAGACTGGGTCTTAACTCACAGTCTGGCCAAGGGCTAGAGGGGGTCTGGCATCAGATTCTGTGCAGCAAGGCCAATGGTATTAGCTAAATGAGACAGGCTCTGGCCAGAATGTGGGGTGGCAGACCGGAGACCATTCACCACTAGCTAGTTAAAGAGATCAGAAGGGATAAGCAGAAAGCTGTGCCCTCAGTGAGGTTCTCTACTCCCTCTGGCAGTGTCTGAGTGGGCATTTCCTTAGGTCCCCTGCCATCACCGCTCCTGTGCAGGCAAGCTCCTAGATGGCACTGATTCGCATTCTCTCTGAATTCCACAACATGACCTTAGCCCCTGAAGGGGGGAAGTGGTCCATGCATATTAACTGAAAAACGACAGCAAAAAAGCACTTTCATACAGTCACTGATTTTCAAAAACTGTTTGGGGAGCAGTTGTTTGTTTTCTAATCTTTAGCCCCATTTCTTGAGAAAACTAAAGTTCAAGGAGGGTAAGGAACTTGTTAGAGACCAAAGAGCTAATCAGTGGTGGAGCCAAAACTCTCCATCAGAATAGAATACCTGAATGATAACCCACATTCTTACTTCTACAGCAAAAATCTTGTAAATTCCTTTCCGCCCTCCCTATAACTGCGGCTGTAATTCGGATCTTCGCACTCCTAACTTCCCACCAGACCTTCCTGCCACAGCTTTTACCTCTGCTCTACCTTCCACTCCACCACCAGAGTTATCTTTCCAAAATGCCAGTCTGGTCATCACTTCCCTGATTACTGCATAGAAGACAAAGGTCCAAAGTCTCATGGTTTTCAAAGCCCTCAGTGACGTGGCCCCCATCTTGCTCTTCCAGTCTCGTCTCCATCCGCCCTATTCCAGTTGGTTCCAAATACTCTGCTCTTTTTCCCAGTGTTTAACATGCCATTTGCTGCTCTTCCATAATCCAATGTCAGCTTTTTTCCAGCCAGGTGCATATATATCTGTAAGCATGTAACTAGCTCATACATTGAAGAGAATGCATCACAAATTTGTGGTTTAAAGAACAATAATAAAAGGCTATCAGGTTCCCACTGTCTAGTTAAGAAGCACGTTTCCATAACCTGCTGTGAGATAGTGTTTTTTTATGCCTCTGTGCGTGCTAGGATGCTTTAGTATGCATGGTGACCTCATCATTTGGAGCCTGAGATGCAGCTTTACCTCCTCCAGAAAGCCTCCACTGAATCCCTTAAGGGAGAACTAATGCTTCCATTATGCCTCCATTATGGCATTCATAACAGTATTATACTTGCCTACATGTTTGCCTCCCCAGTAGATTGAAAATACCAAATATTATTTAATCTCTGACTCTCCAGCAAGCAGCATAAAGTCTGGGGTCCTCCTGGGAACAGCCTATTCTGTGCTCTGGCTGAAAGGATGGATTTGCAAAAACATTCCCTCCAAAGCAAGTGTTCCGTAAATAGGATGGATATCTATACAACCTGGTTTGCCTGAGAGAGTCCTGGCTTATGCCTGTTGTGCGGAGTAATTATTATAAGTGCTTCCTTTACTCATGAATGTGCCTAATTTAGATGACCAATTATATGATCACCCTATCAATAAATGTGGAATGGATTTATTAATGAGTGGAGAACAGTTTGTACTGAGAATCTAGGTGGGAAGAGCCGGTATGTAAAAATTTTCAAAAATTCAACAGCTGGCTGCTGTATCTCCTTCCTGCCCCAGGAGTGCTTGACTCTCTTGGAGACAGGAGTTTGCACAAACCAGATGCTCAATAACCTTTATTGCACAATTAAGTTGAAAAATGTTAACATATCCCTACATTAAGAAAACCTAGATGTGGGGTTCCTGGGTGGCTGAGTGGGGTAAGCCTCTGCCTTGAGCTCAGGTCATGATCTCAGGGTCCTGGGATCGAGCCCCACATCAGGCTCTCTGCTCAGCAGGGAGCCTGCTTCCCTCTCTCTCTGTCTGCTTCTCTGCCTACTTGTGATCTCTCTCTCTCTCTCTGTAAAATAAATAAATAAAATCTTAAAAAAAAAAAAGAAAACCTAGATGTAAACCATGAATTTATAGTACAGATTCATGTGATAAAGATGATTAAATATTATGTATGTTTACTACTTTATGAGAACTGGATGGTAGATAAATTTAGAGAGCTGACTTTACTGCTTACTGAAAATCAGAAATGTAGATTAAATACTGCTGAAATGATAGCTTAATCAATGGGGACATAGATCTAAAAAATTTCATAGATGCACTTTTTTAAAAGAAACTATTCAGTAGGGGTATGTGTCTATACACACACACATACACACTAATTACTAGTTAGTTCTATTTGCTTTTAGGGAAAGAGAAAATCTCCTTGAGTTTCACATTATAAATAAAAGTTTTATTTAAAGCTCTTTTTGTTACTCAAATAGAAAAAGTGGTTTTAACTACTGTTAAACAAAAAATGGGAAGTGAAGTAATTCATCTTTTGACAATAATCTTCCTTCCTTTCCCTCCAACAGTGTCATCTTCTTTGATAGTCAAGATAATTCCTTGTAAATAAGGCTTTTAATAAATTACAAATATGTAGTAGGTTCTTATCCATCTACTTCCTAACTACTTAATGCACTGTTGCATAGCAACAATTTTTTTTCCCTGCTTCTTCTTTATTGGAAGTCTGAGAGTCTGAAATCTGCATTGCCTTGGCTGAGGTTGGGAATCTTTCTGGTACCAGGGGTGCAGATACCCATTGTAGAAATCAGTAGCTGTTAGTGTTTTCTTGAGCATCACTGATCGAACACCAATCCAGCCATCCTAAGGGCAAAAGACAAACAGTAAACAGGGGATGGTGGCAAAACTGGAGGTAAATTTTAGCTAATACAACTTTTAGCCTGAAAACAAACCCGTAAATCTTTACCAAATGCCTAGCTTCAGATAGCACTGCACTAAGTAACATATATGATTCTTTGACTCTAAACTTACTATCGAGTGATAACAAATGTACAGACCTGTATAAATTAAACCTATTTAAATATAAAGGGAGCAGAATAAAGAAGTGTGTCATCTTGGCATGGTACTTTACAGTTTTCAGAATATGTCCATGTATCTTACTATGACTGGTCATCAAAAATATAACTGCTCTATAAGTAGGCAGATCCAATATCATCCCCAGCGGAAACTGATTTAAGAGAAAACTGATGCCCAGGGAAGTGCGCGATTTGTCCAAGGCGACATAACTTGTGGGACTTAAACTCACATGTTCAGACAACCCCAGCTCCTTCTATGAGAGCAAACTGAAGATTTGCAGGACAGACCTATAAAGACCCAGACAACAGCAAACATATCCACCCTACACCATTCGAGAATAAGCAAGATGAAGAGAGGCTGATGTGGGAGCTGTGGATCTACAGTCTGTATAGGTCAGATCACCCTATCATACATTGTGAACTTGGCCTCTTGAGCAGGAAACGTCGCACATCAACACCATCTGAAGGAAAATACCAGGAAATCGAAGAAATGTGGAACGTCTCTCAGGCCATAAAATCATAACATAATAATGGTTCGAAAGTCATTTTAAATAGGTTAAGAAATCTCCTCTTTAACCACTATTGAAGAGTAAAAGCAAGTAGGATACCTGCACTGTAGTAGTTCAGCTAGATACTCTACTATGGCTATCTTCTGTGATCACCATATGAACAAGGTGAGTTGCTAGTTAAATAAGACTTGTTAGTTACTAACAAGAACTTGTTAATTAAAATGGACTGCCGAGAATATACAAGTTTCTTTTAAAAGAGCACTAAACTTGGGGTGCCTGGGTGGCTCAGTTGGTTAAAGCCTCTGCCTTCGGCTCAGGTCATGATCCCAGGGTCCTGGGATCCAACCTCATATCAGGCTCTCTGCTCAGCAGGGAGCCCGCTTCTCTGTCTCTCTCTCTGCCTGACTCTGCCTACTTGTGATCTGTCAAATAAATAAATAAAATATTTAAAAATAAATAAATAAATAAATAAATAAATAAATAAATAAAAGAGCACTAAACTTACTGAATCTTCTTTCAGTAATAATGCCTTGGTAAGACTTCATCACTTTCAAAAATTATACTAGCGACTCTTACTATTTCTTAAGAAAAATTAAACTGTCCATTGGCTCACTCTGATGGATTAAACAGTTGAGTGAAGTCTTAACTAAAAATGATAAACCCTAAACTCAGTAGAACAAGTATAATTTAAAGCTAAAGGTGAATGTACCTTGCAACAAACCAGCAGTATTTGTGACTGTTTGTGGTATACTACTGATCCTGGAGTAACAGGTTGTCCTCTTAATTTTGGATCTAAAGAATTGGGGGGAGGGGAGAAGGACATGAGAGAGAATAAATAATTATGCAACTTCATGGTGCTTAAAAATAAAAAAACATCCTAGGAGGGAATACTAATACCAGAGGGCATACCTGCTGACACCCTGATTCCGTAATCCAAACTTACAATGGAGCCATGGTGCTCTTGTGCATCTCAAACCCAAAGGGAAGCTTTCCATACACATAGGAACTTACCAGACCTTTACCCAGTCTCCCAAAGATCAACTGAAAAATGTCAAATTTAGAAGTTTTGACCATTTGAGGGAGATAACTAGCTACCAGTGGAGAGGTATACAGGAAGCTTATGATCCAAGCTGACCCTTCCATCCATGACCCAGCAAATCCCATTCTTAGATTCCTGAGAAACTCCCAACTCCCTCTGAGCTGGACCACCTCCCTCTGTGGCTCCCACTCCTTCAGTCCACCATATTGGGAGGGCACTAATGGGCCTTAGAATGGACTGTGTCACAAAATGCTACACCCTGGCCTAGGATTCTCCCTGAGTTGCCCAGGGATTTTCATTATGATATTCAGCAGAATGAAACTGACCAAGTCATTCTGCACTCCCTGAAAACCTTAGTGTAGAAAATCACAGAGCTTAAAATGGGATAGTAAGACTGCTTTGCCTACTTCCCACATTCTTAAGATGACCAATGAAAAAATACATGAGAATGGACATTGCAAAGAGTAAGACAATAAATGAATGTAAAGCATTATCATTACTGAACTCACACAAACTAAAAGAATCCTTATTTTTAGTAAATGTGACCTATGGTAAAACAGTCACATTTTCAAATGGACTACAGTGAAAATGTTTTCCACATCAGCTATTCAAAAGTTAGTACCAGTGAGGACTGAACTATTAACTTCTACCAAATCCAGAAGTTTAACGGTATTATCCATCCAGAGAGTCTGCAACGGAATCTGTAAATAAAATTAAAGAACGTATGATAATGGAATACACTCAACCCCCAAATCCTTTTCAACGACTATTTTGCATTAATCTGGTCTGACTCTCCCAGTTACAGAAGAATTGGTAACTGAGTCTCTAAATTTTATGATACAGTACACAGCTGTGTACCCTCTACAACAGTCTCCAAGACTGATAAGACCTTAAACACTATTTTAAAAGTCAATGTTTATATCTTTATTGATATTTCTAATTTAAATTTATGTTCATTGTAAGAAATGCAAGCATTACAACAATTATATTTTAAAAACTTAGAAAGTAGGCATGCCTGGCTGGCTCAGTCGGAAGAGCTTGTGACTCCTGAACTCAGGGTTTTGAGTCCGAGTCCCATGTTGGGCATAAAGATACTTAAATTAATAAAACTTAAAAAAAATTTTTTTTAATTTAGAAATTATTCTATACTCTCAACACCAGAAGTAACCACTGTTAACAATCTGATTGGTATATCCTTTTATTTCTTTCCTGCAAATATTACAAAAATCTAGAACATACTCTTACAAGGAAGTTTTTTACCTGACACTGAAGCACGGGCAACTTTCATCAGCGTATGCATGTCTATTTCCTCTCTATCTGTGGCACAGTACTCCCATCATGACTATATCATAATTTATGCAACCAATACCTTTATGATGGACATTTCAATTATTTTCAATTTCTTGCTACTATTAATAGCAATTCCTCCCAGTATATGGACTTTTAATCTTGGGTATAGTAATTTTTTTTCCTGTGCGTAAGTTTTTTTTTATTTTTATGAAGTAATATTAGCCAGTTTTTTCTCTCATGGCTCCAGTAATTCACATCATGCTTAAAAAGGGTTACCCTTATACTTTAAGATTATTAAATATTATAAAATTATTCAACAGTGCTTTTCCCTTAGTTCTTTGTGGTTTCACATCTTTGCATTTAAATGCTTGATCCATTTTTCTTTTTTTGATCATTATTTTGACTTTGAAAGTCAGGATTTGAGGGCTTCAGGATTTGGTTACCCTCTAATGGCTAACCAGTTCGGTTGTCCCATTTACTGGACAATCCATCTCACCCTGCCCCACAATGTGAAGTGACACTTTCGTCACATTTTGATTTCAGACTAATAAAAATTAACATGTAGCGGGAAGTAAGTTCTCTCAAATTTCTGAAGTAAATACATGTATCTTCAGACTGTAGCTTAATCCTCTATTTCATAGACAAGGAAAGTGAGGCCCAGAGAAATGCAGCTATTTTCCCAAGTTTAGACACAGCTAGAGCCTAGGACCAGAATCTAGGTTTTCTCATTCTCAGCTCAATGCTCTCTTTATCACCTCCCCTAAAGAGGTCATTTAATTTTCAGAAGAGTTAGATTGTTTCAAAGATTTCAAAATCATATATTTGCATGGATTTAATTCACAAGGTTTATCTCCTTTGATCTTGGCAGTTGTGGACATGGTGATTAACCCTGTTTTAGAGGTAAAAAAGCAGAAACCCAGAGAAAATAATGGGTTTTGCTCTTGGTTAGTAAATGGCAGCTCTAGGAATCAAATTTCACCTTCTGGTTCGTAAGTGCTCATTCTGTTATGGCCCAAGCTTTTTCTCGATGGAGAGGAAAGGTGAATTGCAGAAGATAACGATCATTATATGGTAATGGAACTGTGTTTAACTTTTTTAAGACTTTATTTTTGAAACTTCTTTTTTTTTTAGAGATTTTATTTATTTGACAGAGACACAGTGAGAGAGGGAACACAAGCAGAGGGAGTGGGAAAGGGAGAAGAAGGCTTCCCAAGGAGCAGGGAGCCCGATGCGGGGCGGGAACCCAGGACCCTGGGATCATGACCTGAGCCAAAGGCAGACGCCAAATGACTAAGCCACCCAGGTGCCCCAAGATTTTATTTTTAAGTAATCTCTATACCCAACGTGGGGCTTGAACTCACAACCCCAAGATCAAGAGTTACACACTCTACCAACTGAACCAAACAGCAACTTTGTTTAACTTTTAAGGAACTGTCAAACAATTTTTTCATAGCTGCTGTACCAGTTTACATTCCCACCCCAGAAATGTATGAGAGTTCCAAATTTCTCCACATCCCTGTCAACACTTGTTATTGCCTGTTGTTGTTTTTTTTTTAAGATTTTATTTATTTGGCAGATCACAAGTAGGCAGAGAGGCAGGCAGAGGCGGGGGTGGGGGTGGGGGGTGGGAAGCAGGCTCCATGCTGAGCAGAGAGCCCCATGCTCATGACCTGAGCTGAAGGCAGAGGCTTAACCCACTGAGCCACCCAGGTGTGCCTATTGCCTGTTTTTTTTTTTTAATTTATAGCAATCCTAGTGGGTGTGAAGTGGTATCTCTGTACAGTTTTGATTTGCATTTCCCTAATGACTAATGAAAATGACCATCTTTTCATGTGTTTAGTGGCCATTTATAGATCTTCTTGGAAGAAGTTATCTATTTAGAAGCTTTGCCCATTTTCTAATCACGTTTATCTTTTTGTTGTACAGTTGGAAGAGATCCTTATATAGATACTGGACTATTATCAGATACATGATTTGCAAATATTTTCTTCCACTCTATAGGTTGTCTCTATATTCTTGATAGTGTTCTTTGAAGCCCCAACAGTTGTTAATTTTCATGTCTAATTTCTCTATTTTTAGTTTGGTTGCTTAGGCTGTAGGCAACGTATCTAAGAACCACTGCCTAATTCAAGGTCATGAAGATTTACTCTTAAGTTTTCTTCCAAGAGTCTTATCATTTTAGCTCTTATATTTAGGTCTCTGATCCATATGGAGTTTGTGAGGTAGGAATCCAAATTCATTTCTTTTTTATTGTGGATACCCAACTATCCAAGCACCATGTGTTAAAAAGATTATTCTTTCCCCATCAAACTATACTGGTACCACTATCAAAAATCGATTGACAATAAACATGAAGGTTTATTTCTGGGCTCTCAATTCTATTCCATTGAAAAATAGGTCTATCCTTATGTCAGTATCCCACTGTCTTCATTACTGTAACTTTGTATTAAGTTTTGAAATTAGGAAGGGTGAGTTCTTTAACTTTGTCCTTCTTTTTCAAGATTTTTTGGCAATTCTGGGTCTCCTGGGATGCCATATGAATTTCAGGATCAGCTTGTCAATTTCTGCGAAGACGTCAACTGGGGTTTTTATAGGAATTGTGTTGAATCTGCAGATCAATTTGGGGAGCAGTGCCATCTTAACAATATTAAGTCTTCCAACCCAAGAACAAGGTCCTTCCACTTACTTACATCTTCTTTACTGCTTATTAACTCTAAAGTTTCTTTTAGATTCTTAATGATTTTCTATATATAAGATCATGTCATCTGCACATGGAGTTTTACTTACTCCTTTGCAGTCTGATTCTGTATTGTTTCTTTTTTCTTGCCTAACAGCCCTGGCTAGAACCTCCAGCACAATGCTAAATAGAAGTGGTGAGAGTGGACATCTTTGTCTTGTTCCTGATCTTAGGTGGAAAGCTTTCAGGCTTTCACCATTAAATATGATGTTAGCTGTGGGTTTTTGTCAGGTTGAGGAAGTTCCCTTCTTAGTTTGTTGTACATTTTTATCATGAAAGGGTACTGGATTTTGTCAAGTGCTTTTTCTGCATCTATTGAGTAAATTCTGTGGCTTTTGCCCTTTATTCTATTATATGGTGTATTACATGGGTTGTTTCTGTATGTTGATTCAACCTTGCATTCCTCATATAAATCCTACTTGGTCATAGTATACAATCCTTTTTTATATGTTGTTTAATTTAGTTTGCTAATTCTGCTGAGAATTTTCACCGCTATATTCATTAAGGATATGGATTTTGGCTTTCTTTTCTTGTGAAGTCTTTATCTTGTTTAGCCTACCTTAGGTTTTGTACTAGCTGCTCCCTCGCCTAGAATGCCATTTTCCTAATCTCAGCATGATTCATGGCTCCATACTATCTTTCAGATCTAAACTTAAATGTCAGTTTAGAGGTGCCTCTTCCATCTACCGAATCTAAAATAACCTTCAGTTAGTCTATCACATTTTCCTCTTTTAATTTTCACCAAAGAACTTATCACACTATCTGATATTTTTATTTATTTGCTTATTTGTTTCTGTTTTCTCACATCTTCTTTATCTCTGGTACCTAATACAATGCCTGACACATAGTCGGCTTTCAAAAAATATTTTGTTTAGGAACATCTGGGTGGCTCAGTCAGTTAAGCATCTGTCTTCGGCTCAGGTCATGATCCTAGGGTCCAGGGATTAGTCCAGCATCAGGCTCCTTGCTCAGCAGGGAGCCTACTTCTCCCTCTGCCTGCTGCTCCCCCTGCTTGTGCTTTCTCTGTCTCTCTGACAAATACAATCTTTAAAAAAAATTGTTTAATGAATGCATGAATAATAGCAGATAACATTTAATGAGTACCTACTCCAGATACTATACTAGATGCTTTATATACATTATATCAGCCCTAATTACCAGATGAACAAACTAAAGCTCAGAGGTTAAAAAATAAGTGGCAGAGACAAGGTGGAGCCCAGCTCTGCCTGGCTCTAAAGTCCATGTTCCTTTCCCTATGCTTCTGTTGCAGTGGGGAAAGTACTGGGTTTGAAGTCAGACAGATCTGGTTCAAAACCTGCCTCTCACTAACTGGCAATGGTACCTTGATGGCAATATTCAGTGCCATCCATTCTTTTCTTTAAGCCTCAATTTCATCAACTTAAAATCAGATGATACCCACACATAAGGCCGTGATCCTCACTGAAGAACTTGGCATGCTAGAAGTATTCAGTGGCAGGTCTCCATCTTAATCAATGTTAGTAACAGGTGGCCCAGGAGCTCCTGGGTGGCTTAGTGGGTTAAAACCTCTGCCTTCGGCTCAGGTCATGATCCCAGGGTCCTGGGATGGAGCCCTGCAATGGGCTCTATGCTCAGCAGGGAGGCTGCTTCCCCCTCTCTCTCCGCCTACTTGTGATCTCTGTCAAATAAATAAATAAAATCTTTAAAGAAAAAAAAAATAAATAAAATAAAATAACAGGTGGCTCATTAAAAACCCCACACTTGGTAGGCCCCAAGTTCAAACAACACAAGAGGCTACCAAAATGAAGGAGGAAAAACCCGATACATTTGTCAAAGAACTGAGAATTTAACTCAGGTCTTTTAATAAGTATTTTTTTTTAGTTTTTAAAAAAGATTTTAAGTAATCTCTACACCCTCAATGTGGGGCTTGAACTTACAACCCAGAGATCAAGATATATATGCTCCACCAAATGAGACAGCCAGGCACCCGACATATTTTAATAAGTATGTAATAAATACTCTAAGTATAAATAAAGAACTATTTAATAAATAAGTTACAGTTACAACTCCACTTTGTGTACCATCTGTAGAAATTGAGGACTTAAGAATTCAGTTGTAAAAAACTGGCTACGGGCAGAAAGACATACTGGGAAAAGCATTGGATTAGATGTTAGAAGATTTAGATTCATTATTTTGTGATGGGGCACCCTGAAGTTCATATATATATATACATACATACATACACACACACACACACACATATATATACATATATATGAATATATATTCAAAAGTCCTTTGCAAATTTTAAGGTCCATATAAAAATTTGAAGTTTAAAGAATATTTAAAAAATGAATTTCATACACACACAAGAATTTTTGAAAGCAAGGACTCGAACATATTTGTACACCAATGTTCACAACAGCATTATTCACAACAGCCAAAAGTGGGAAATAACCCAAACCTCTGCTGACTGATGAAGGGATAAACAAAATGTGGCATACACATACAACAGAATGTTTTCCTTAAAGAAGAATGACATTCTGATACATGGTACAGCATGGATGAACCTTAAGGACATGATGCTAAATAAGCCAGACACAAAAGGACAAATATGATTCCACTTATATGAGGTGCCTAGAATAAGCAAATTCTAAGAGATAGGAAGTAGATAGTGGTTACCAGCGACTGTGGGAAGGGGAGATGGGGGAATTAGTGTTCAGTGGGTACAGAGTTTCAGTCTGGGATGATTACAAAGTTCTGGAGATGGATGGTGGCAATGGTTGCACAATGATATGCTACTGATTTATACACTTAAATCATGAATGCTACTGATTTACATGCTTAAAAATTGTTAAAATGGTTTATGTTATATATCTTTTATCAGATTAAAAGTTTTAAGAATAAAATGAATTTCAGGATTCTTTAGGTTTAGTTTGCAATTCATTCCTAAATAAAAGTATTTTGAAAATGAATCACATACACAGACAATTAGGTAAAACTGCAATCTGACTTCCAACTTACTATAGTTCCAATGGCACGATAAAGTCTGAATATCTGCTCTGAAGTTTGTTCCTCCCATTTTATACATCTGGTACCAGCAGATATCTTAGGGGCTACAAGATAAAGCCAAGAGCGGGAATAAATATCAGGTTCTATGTCCATGAACTGATAGCTATTTTTTTTTTTTTTAAGAATTTCTTTAATTATTTGAGAGGGAGAAAGAGAGAGAGAGAGAGAGCACATAAGCAGGGGAGAGGCAGAAGGAGAGGGAGAAGCAGGCTCTCGCTGAGTAGGGAGCCTGATGTGGGGCTCAATCTCAGGACCCTGGGATCATGACCTGAGCCGAAGGCAGCCGCTTAACAGACTGAGCGACACCGGGCGCGCCTGAAATGGCAACTATTGATGCTGACTGAGAGAAGCGAACTTTTATTACTTTCTCAACTTTTGAGAATATTTGAAATTTTCCATAATTTGAGTATATTTGAAATTTTCCATAAAAGTAAAAATAAATCAATCACACAGATACGAAAGAAAACTGGGTGAATTTCTTTGTAACCTGGGAGCAGAAAAAGCCCTTCTAACAATGACTCAAAATCCAGAAGCAATTAAATGACAAATATGAATACATAAAAATAAGCTTTTAATAAAAATAAACTTTCGTATGGCAAAAAGAAAGGTCATAAATCGAGTCTAAAAACAAATGATGGGGGCACCTGGCTGGCTCAGTTGGTAGAGCACGTGACTCTCAATCTCAGGTTTTCAAGTTCGAGCCCCACATTGAGTGTAAAGATTACTTAAAAAAACAACAACACAACAACAACAACAAAACCTGAAAGTATTTGTAATTTTCATCACAATATTTTAGATCTATTTATAACAAATATTAGGTTTACAATTACAAATTAATCTAAAAAAATATATATATATCTATGTAACATAATCTTAATATAATAATATTATATCCAGGACTACTTTATATCTATTATGTGGATTTATTTATATCTATCATATAAAGTACTCCTAAAAACTGAGAAGAAAAGACCAAAAATGTGATAGAAAAATGGGTAAAAGATATGTCTCTTCCTAGAAAAAATAAATGCAAGTAGTCTTTAAACATACAAAAAAATCCTCAACCTCACTCACAGGAGTAATGTAAATTAAAACTACTCTAGGATGCAATTTCTTATCTATTGGCTTTGGAAGTAACATAAGCTTCAAGTTATTTATTTATTTATTTATTTGAAAGATTTTATCTATTTATTTCATAGACAGAGATCACAAGTCAGACAGAGATCACAAGTAGGCAGAGGGGCAGGCAGAGAGAGAGGGGGAAGCAGGCTCCCCACCAAGCAGAGAGCCCGATGCGGGGCTTAATCCCAGGACCTAGAGATCACAACCCGAGCTGAAGGCAGAGGCTCTAACACGCTGAGCCACACAGGCGCCACTAGCTTCAAGTTATTTATAATGGCATTCTTCGCAATAGCAAAAGTTTGGAAACAATCAAAATGTCCATCAATAGGGAATCTGTTGAATAAATTATGATACAGCCATATAAGTGAGAATTATACTGCCATAAAAAGGAACCTTCTTATTGACAGGAAAGGATTTCCAGGGTACAAGGTTAAGTGAAAAAACCAACCAACCAACCAAACAAACCAAAAAACCAAAGGTACAAAAGAGTATATATTTTATGCCACCTTTTGTGAAAAAATAAAGGAAAAATCAATTTATTTATTTATTTAAAGATTTTATTTACTTATTTACGAGAGAGAGAGAGAGAGAGAGACCACAAGTAGGTAGAGCAGTAGGCAGAGGTAGAAGGAGAAGCGGGCTCCCCACTGAGCAGCGAGTTTGATGAGGGACTCGATTCCAGGACCCTGAGATCATGACCTGAGCTGAAGGCAGACGCTTACCTGACTGAGCCACCCAGGTAACTCAGGAAAAATCAATTTAAAAATACGTGGTATTTGCTTATTTTGATAAAAGGAAAACAACTGGACAGCTAAATCAGGAATTCATAAAATAGTCACTCGAGGAGGAGCTAGGGATGGAAGTGAGACTTCTCTTGAGTATACTTTTATAAATAGCTTAAATTTTTTAATCATAGAGATGGTTTATATGATTTAAAAATAAAATTTAATCATAAAGAGAAAAACAACTCTGAAAATTGAAAACTAAAACAAATAAATCTAACTATGTGTCAAACTAGGTAATAAAATGGTAAAAATAATCATCATCTCCAGTAAGTTTTGGACATAGCACTCTGACTACACAGCATTAGAAGGATATATTCTATGGACCAAAAAAACCTGCAGAGGAATATGAAATACTACTCAATAATTTTACTGTTTGTAATAACACTGGTGTTGTAATTCTGAAACTATTTTATGCCTACCAATTAAATAAATAGGTCAGTATTAACTTTTGAAAAGATATTCAGTTTAAAAGAAAATATAAGAAAAACCCTGAAATTCAAAATTTGAATCGGGGGTGCCTGTGTGGCTCAGTCAGTTGAGTGTCTGACTTTGATTTCAGCTCAGGTCATGATCTCAGAGTTGCCGGATTGAGCACCGCATTGGGCTCCACATTCAGCATGGAGTCTGCTTGTCCCTCTCCCTCTGCTCCTCCCCCTGATCTGTCAAATAAAATCTTAAATAAATAAATAAATGTGTGTGTGTGTGTGTGTGTGCACACACACACATATATATTTGAATCAATAATGGTATGAACTCAAATATGTTTTAAATGTTAAAAAAATATAATGCCTCACCTTGTCCATTGACACCTTATCTTGGAACACACTGTTGTGCCACATGGATTCCAAATAGCACCCCTCCCAAAACAAACAAGGGAGAGATGGTTTGTTCTAGCATGGGACAGAGAACTTATAAGATGACTCTGGGGCAGGATGCCTGGGTGGCTCAGTGGGTTAAGGCTTCTGCCCTTGGCTCAGGTCATGATCTCAGGGTCCTGGGATCAAGCCCTGCATCGGGCTCTCTGCTCAGCAGTGAGCCTGCTTCTCCCTCTCTCTGCCTGTCTCTCTGCCTACTTGTGATCACTGTCAAATAAATAAATAAAATCTTAAAAAAAAAAAAAAAAGATGAGTCTGGGCATCTTATAAAAGAAAGCAAGGAAGCACTTAAAAACTAGTTAAGGTTGTCAAAAGGATGCAGGACCCAACTTTAGGGGGCTCCCACTGGCTAAATTTGGGATGACTTGAACAGGACAAAGAATTATAGATGTAATTAACTGTAAAACACAGTAAGTGAAAATCCATGAGCCAAATCATAATTTTAAAAACTCAGTTGCCGGGGTCCCTGGGTGGCTCAGTGGGTTAAAGCCTCTGCCTTCGGCTCAGGTCATGATCCCAGAGTCCTGGGATCGAGCCCCGAATCGGGCTCTCTGCTTGGCAGGGAGCCTGCTGCCCCCTCTCTCTCTGCCTACTTGTGATCTCTGTCTGTCAAATAAATAAATAAATAAATCTTTAAAAACAAACAAACAAAAAAAACTTAGTTGCCACCATAATTGAACGTGACTGTGGGCACTAATTTCTTACTCTAAAAATTGGTAGAGAAAGAATTAAACATTGATCTTGCCATTTTAGAATGAACTAGGATTCATCTTCAATTAATGAGGAAAAGCTCTTCTTCATAGAATAATGCCAAATATTAAAGGTAAAAGTAATTGGAAAATCACCATTTCGCAATCCCTAATGAAATAATTCATTCAGGGAAGAAGCACCAACCCATGCCAAAATCATTACATGAAAGGTTGTTAGAGAACAGGATTATTTGCATGGTGCCAAAGCATCACCCCACAGATTACCTGCCAACTGCAAAGGGAAAAACAAATCTTTACACTGGACTCAACCAAGTGGTCAAACTGAACTTCACCAACCTTGATGCAACCTGGTATTATCACTCACTGATGTGACATCCAAAGACTAGAGCAGAGAGGTGGCACTCTAACATATCCTTTTAAACATTTTTTTTTCCAAAGATTTTATTTTATTTATTTGACAGAGAGAGAGAGATCACAAGCAGACAGAGAAGCAGGCAAAGAGAGAGAGGGGGAAGCAGGCTCCTCGCTGGGCAGAGAGCCCGATGCGGGCCTTGATCCCAGGACCCTGAGATCACGACCTGAGCTGAAGGCAGAGGCTTAACCCACTGAGCCAGCCACCCAGGCACCCTTAAACAATTTTAACTTCTGAATCATGTAAATGTTTTACATGTTCAAGAAATAACTCATAAATAAAAATAAAAAGCAATCCTTAAAATTAAAAACAAACTGAAACAAGTACCACTGGAACACAACAACATCTATGAAATATTCTTTCCAAAAACGTCAAGCCTAAGTCTAACCAAGCCTTTAGAATTTCCAATGCAGAAGAAATATGAAGTCTAGAAAAATAAGTTAAACAACACTGGAAGGAAACAGACAACTAGCCTATTATCTTCAAAAAGTCAATGACATGGGGACTCCTGGGTGGCTCAGATGGTTGGACAACTGCTTTTGGCTCAGGTCATGATCCCGGAGTCCCGGGATCGAGTCCCGCATTGGGCTCCCAGCTCCCCGGGGAGTCTGCTTCTCCCTCTGACCTTCTCCTCGCTCATGCCCTCTCTCACTGCCTCTCTCTCAAATAAATAAATAAAATCTTAAAAAAAAAAAAAAAAAAAAACTTAAAAAAAAAAAAAGTCAATGACATGGAGGGGGAAAAATAATGGAGGAATTAATCTAGATTAAAGAGATACACCAACAAATTATAATTACATACTACTCTGAAAAACTATCCAGCTAAAAAAATGTATTTTTAGACAATTAGGAACATTTATGTACTGGACATTAAATGCTATTACGGAACTATTCATTTCTCTTAAGAGATGCATGTTGAGGGATGCCTGGGTGGCTCCGTCGGTCAAGTGTCTGCCTTTGGCTCGGGTCATGATCTCAGGGTCCTGGGATCAAGTCCCACACTGGGTTCCTTGCTCAAGAGGGGGCCTGCTTCTCCCTCTGCTTGTGCTCTTTCTCTCTCTCTCCCTTTCCCTCTGACAAATAAATAAATAAAAATCTTAAAAAAAAAAGAGAGAGATGCATGTTGAAATATTTAGGAATGAAAGGTTATGATGCATACTTCCAAAGGATTAAGCAGAAATTTTAAAATATATACTAAATAAACACATACACATATATAGTGAAAGAAAATATGCTCAAATATTAAGAATTACTGAGTCTGGGTTAAACAGGTATTCATCATTTTTTTTAAATCAAAGATTTATTAACTTATTTTAGAGAGAGTGCAGGAGGGGCAAAGGGAGAGGAAGAGAGAGTCTTAGGCTGACTCCTCACTGAGCAGAGCCTGATATCAGGTTCAAGCTCATGACCCTGAGCCAAAACCACGAGTCGGATGCTTAACTGACTGCCACCCAGGTGCCCTGGTATTCATCATCATTTAACTTCTCTCTCTGGTACTTTTCAATACAAAGAATAGGGAAAACATTTCCAATTCTTCAAGAGACTACATGTTAAGAGGAAAATGGAGACTATAACTTGCCATTCTTTGGAAAGAGACATACAAGTGGGCACTCACTCTTTAGTCAAAATCAAGGGCAATGTCCCATTGAAGTCAGAGCGTTCAGGTGCTATCATGACAGACAAAAACCCCGTGGAGGAGTTTGGGGTCTCTGTAACCTTCACTTACCATATGTCACTCCCTCAGTTGGCTGCTGCCTTCCATTGCTCAAACTCTCAGGCAAATTTTTCAAAACTGAAATAAGCTGGAAAAAAAAAGGGGGGGGGGAGAACAACATATTCAAGATGAAAAGAACAAAAGCAGAAATACATTACAATTCAGTACATGACATTACCGAAAGCTTTGAAGGAGCTGTGTGGCAGGGTAGGGCAGGAAACTGCCTGAGGCCATGACCACACAGGGCTCCTCAATGGAGTCTAGATGGAGATGGTGCTCTCTCCAAGGACAGAGCAATGAAGTGCTTCCAGAGAATGCCGAGTTCTACCGGCTATGCAAGCTTTTCTTGTCAGAAAAGTGTGTGCTCAGGAATCCACACTCTGAGCCCTAGGAGGGAAGGCAATGGAGCCTCAAAGAAGAATGTACTCTGGAGTCACACAGTCCTGGGTTCAAATCCCAATTCCACCACCTACTCTTGTGACATTGTGGAATAGTTCTTTGACTGTGTGGCCTTCAGCGGATGACAGTATCAGCTGCCTCAAAGGTTGGTTGGGAAAGTAAGAAAATAAGTCTAAGGAGGATCCAGAATAGTCCCGGCACACGAGCCAGTCCTTAAAAAATGAGCCACTATTGCAACACCATTTCTCTGGTGAGTGCCTGGATTAGGAAGCACCGTCTAGATGGTCGGGGAAAAACTATCCTCTACAGAAAATTAACTAGTTCAGATGAAAATCATTGATTTGGCCATGAAGCATTCACTCCGACCTACTGTATGCAGATTCGAGCTATACAAAGCCAAAGAGCTCACTTAGAGCGAGGGCATCAGCAGAACTCCAGTAATATGGAGGCGATGACTGCAGTGCAGGCACAGAAGGGAGAGGAATGCACCGTCACTGAGGGAATGGCTGTTGGCCAGTCTGACAGGGGTGCCAGGTGAGTCTAGGAGCCGGAGGCTGGAACCGGGAAGGAGCTTCTAATGGCCTCACTGGAATGCAGGGGGCCACAGAAGCTCACGTGTTTCAGGAGAGTCTGTATTAAGTACCACTGTACATTTCCCAAAGACTCACATGAGAAATGTCAACCTTGATGTTAGGAAGCAGGGAGAGAAATCGATTAAAAGAAACAAAAAAGCTGGGGCACCTGGGTGGCTCAGTGGGTTAAGCCTCTGCCTTCAGCTCAGGTCATGATCTCAGGGTCCTAGAATCAAGGCCCGCATCAGGCTCTCTGCTCAGTGGGGAGCCTGCTTCCCCCTCTCTTTCTGCCTGCTGCTCTGCCTACTTGTGATCTCTCTCTCTCTCTGTCAAATAAATAAATCTTAAAAAAAATAAATACAATCTTAAAAAAAAAAAAACAAAAAGATGAAAATGACGCATCCCAGAAGTGTTCTTTGCATCACCGACAGTTAGGAGACCTAGGAAATGAAGCAGTGGGATATCAGAGAACCGTACCATGTTGGCCCCCAATCTTGACAGCACTGCCTCCAGTTCCTTGGCAGTACTCTTAGGTGGCACAGGAACCGTTTCCTGTTTGAGAATTGGGCCGACATCAAACCTACCAAAAATCAAAAGCAAATAACAACATTACTATTTCTTCCGATCAATAGGTTTATCTACGTGAGTGTTTACATACCGCAAGGGTAGTTTAACCCTGGCTGTGGACTTGACTGGTAGCCATTAGCAAAAGAGAAACATCAGTCTGAAAGAAGGGAATGCAAAATCTGGCCTATACTCAGATTTTATATCTATTTTTCCTAAAGGAAAAAAGTACAAAATTGAATATCAGGGATTTAATTGCAGTTGCAAATAATTCCACCTTTAGTAATTAAGAGTATTTTAAAAGTTTCTGTTTATACAATGAAGACACAGAGCAAAAAATTTATTTTCCAAAGAAGTACCATTAAGAAATTCATAATGTGGGTGCCTGGGTGGCTCAGTGGGTTAAGCCTCTGCCTTCAGCTCAGGTGATGATCTCAGAGTCCTGGGATCGAGCCCCGCATCGGGCTCTCTGCTCAGCAGGGAGCCTGCTTCCCACTCTCTCTCTGTCTGCCTCTCTGCCTGCTTGTGATCTCTCTCTCTCTGTCAAATAAATAAATTTTTTAAAATCTTAAAAAAAAAAAAAGAAATTAATAATTTCTTTCTACATATCTCTTCTCAAAGGACAAGAGTTTTGCCTAGATTATAATCATTGGTGATTATAAGTTGATACAAGTGTATTTGCATTCCCACAGTCTTACATTTTACATCAAGCTCTGTAAATACTGGCTCTCAGCTTTTATTAGAAATATGCTTCATTTTAAATAATTAACTTTGTGGTTGTTAATTCTATTTTCAACCTATAATAAAATGCTTACTATCAAAAATTATAAACATCCACAAAACAGTGTGAATAGTCTCTTGAATCCCCAAATAACATCATCCAGAGTTTAGAATTATTAAAGTTTTGCAATTCATTTCATCTGCCTTTCTTGTTTTCTCAAGTAAGTTAAAGCAAATCCCAGGTATGCAGTTGTTCTTGTGAAGCTGTGAATTATTTTCTGTGGGGACATTAGGTGATAACAGATAGAGGCTTAATATAATCCTGTTTTAGACTATAGTAGGATTTAAAAAATTAAAAATGTTTAAGATAACTATATTACACATTGGCATACAATGTGGTCTTACTTCAGGTTCCAAAAATTTTTGACCATAGAAACCAAGGCCAGCAAAACCAAGATTCATTACAACTCGTATCCAAAAATCCATCTCTCATTTATACAATGTTTTTCACAGAAACCCAGCTATCAATAATACAATTTATTTCAGTTAACAAGGTAAACATTTCACAAGAACTTAAAGAGACACTATGTAACACCAAACCACATATAGTTTATGTCAGAAACCAGGAAAAGACAGAAAGGGAAGGCACCGTGGAGGCAGAGGAATTAGCACCATCCATTCATCCACTTCCACGTCCTCTTCGAAAAGACTGACATCAACATTCAAAACCACAAAGTCTAGAGAAAAGAAAATATCTCCTACCTTTTAGGTTTAATTTGCATAATCGTCACTCCAGTAACTGTGTCTCCGTGAAGCACGGTGTGGATTATAGGGGCTGGACCACGCCACCTCGGGAGGCAACTGGGATGGACATTCAGTATGCCACTGAGTCAGAAAAGGCAGAAATTGGTGAGCAAGTGGGCCTTACCATTTAGTTCCTGCTACCCAAATACGCGACTTTTTATCACTATACTTCCCCAGAAAGTTTGGAAAACAAACTTGAATCTAGTAAAGGGAGCCAGAGATTAAGTTTACTCTCTTACCATAAGAGATCAATGAAACTCAGTTAAAAACAGAACAAGAGGGGCACCTGGGTGGCTCAGATGGTTAAGCGTCTGCCTTTGGCTCAGGTCATGATCTCCAGGTCCTGGGATCAAGCCCCATGTTGGGCTCCCAGCTCAGCTAGGAGTCTGCTTTTCCCTCTCCCTCTGCCTCTCCTCTGTCTGTGCTCTCTCTGTCTTTCAAATGAATAAATAATATTTTAAAAAATAAATAAATCAAATCAAATAAAAACAGAACAAAAAGACTATTCACTGTCCCAAAGATGTTCCACAACAGTCTGTGATGTCTGGGAGTTTTTAAAGATTTTATTTTTAAAGTAATCTCCACACCCAGCATGGGGCTCAAACCCATAAACCCGAGATCGAGAATCACAAGCTCCACCAACTAAGCAAGCCAGGTGCCCTTGGGAGTTTTTAAATAAAAGCAAAAAATAGCTTTTATACTGTAGGAGAAGCACTCAAACCCCCCTGTGCGTCTCATGGACAGTGTGAATATACAGTTTAGTCCAATTACCCTGTTTCATTTAGTCTGCATACAGAATGCCTAGAAAAAGTTTCTTGAATCCCCATCCAACGATCTATTCATCTTTGCTCTTTATCCCAACACACCTAGTGCCCAGTGATGAGCAACTTCAATCATTTACTAGGTAAGCTGATTAGTTTGACGATGTCTCCACTGCAGGAAGATGAACTCGGGAGTGCGTGTACACGAAAGTCTTAGATTCAAAAATTCCACGGTTCAGCCCCGTCTGATTCACCCAAGAAATATTTACTGAGCACAGTCCATGTGCTGGGGATACAAGCAACACCGAACCAAAGGAGGAAAAATTCTGCCCTCAGCAAGCTTGCATGCCAAGAACAGGAGACAAACAACACAAAACTGTGTAAAAAGTTTGTCAGATGGTTCTAAGGGCTATGGAGGAAAATAAAGCAGAGAAGGGGTAGGAGTACTGGGTGGGAGACGACAGTTTTAACAGGGGTCACAGAAAGTTTTACCAATAAGAAGACACTTGAACAAAGACGTGAGGAGGTAAGGGAGTAAGCCATGCAGACATTCCAGGCAGAGGGAACAGTAAGTATCTTGAAGAAGGTAAGTGTTCAGCAAGTTCAAGGAACAGCACAGAGGCTAGTGTGGCTGGAGTGGAATGAACCTGAGGAATAACATGAGGAGACGAAGCCAGACAGCCAGGAGGGGACCAAACCCAGTAGGTAGGTCCTCACAGGCCCAGACTCTTGACGACTTCTGAGTGAGATGGAAAAACACCAGAGAATACTGAGCACAGTGACATGATCCGACCTCTGCTTTAAATGGATCACTTCGGCTGCTAGGCTGGTAAAAGACTGAGAAGGCCAAGGACAGCAGACACTGGGGGCGGGCGGGGGGATAGAGGGAGGAGGTTACTGCAGAGCGATAGGTGAATTCTATCTAGAGCCAATAGGATTTCCTCATGGATTGGGTGTGTGGTATGAGAGAAGGAATCACCAGTCCCTGAAAGGTTTCAGTCTGAACACCCAGAAGGGTGGAGTTGCCATTGACGGAGATGAAGACTTGGGGAGGAGGAGCTGTTGGGCAAAAGTTCAGGAATGTAATTTAGGACATCTTATATGTAAGATGCCTATCAGACACTAGGTATCAGTGGCCTGGAGTTCAGGGAGAGATGTGAACTGGAGGGACACATCTGGGAACTGCCAGCATCTACATGGAATTTAAATGAGGGTGGGTGAGAGAGCCCAGAGATCAAGAGCATCACACATTTCAACAATTCATGACACTAACAAAATTTTTTATCTTAAGAGAAAACAGTAAAGACAGCAGAATTAGACTTCAAATCATTGCATTTTAGATTCCAGGACGGTATACATTTTTTTTTAAGATTATTTATTTATTTATTTGACAGAGATCACAAGTAGGCAGAGAGGCAGGCAGAGAGAGAGAGAGGAGGAAGCAGGCTCCTCGCTGAGCAGAAAGCCCGATGTGGGGCTCAATCCCAGGACCCTGGGATCCTGAGCCGGAGGCAGAGGCTTTAACCCACTGAGCCACCCAGGCGCCCCGTTCCAGGTCCATATATAAAGACCAAAAGCCTCCTATACTGTATCCCCTTTAAAAACAAGAACAAAAACAAAAACTCACTAGGGAAATTTAAGAATAAGAGCCTCACTCAAAAGTCGGCCAAATGAAGCGACCACTCCAACGTCGTACTCTCCAGATCCCACATCTGGCCACTCATACACTGGAAGCTGAGACTGGACAGCATATTGCTTCACTAGTAGTCCTTTTGGGGATGGGGACGGCACTGTGACCACCTCCAATTTTTCGATTAACTCTTCCTCTTTGTTTTCCCTAAGTTGGAAAGATTGGAAGAAATTGTGTTAAGACAATGACTCAAAGTTAAACTACTTCACCTACTTCCACAGTACTTCTATAGTTAAATTCATGAAACATTTAAGGATAAATGCTTAAAACTAGTACAACTGAGAGACTGAGTTTTTGTTTTTTATTTAATTAATTATTTGTAATTTAAAGAGCCATATGTGGCTAATGACTACTGTTTGGATAGCAGGGTTCTAGAAATTTCCTGTGCATACAAAAACATATACAGTACAGATATTTTACACAAATAGGGTATTATATATACTGCTCTGCATTTTGTTTTTCCCTCTTAACAACGCTATATTACTATTATGTGAGTTTTTTTAAAAAACGGGTTAAATATACATTTGCTTATATATCCAACAAACATTTCTAGAATAAGAAACTGAAAACAGGGGTCGCCTGGGTGGCTTAGCTGGTTTAGCAGCTGCCTTCGGCTCAGGTCATGATCCTAGCGTCCTGGGATCGAGTCCCGCATCGGGCTCCTTGCTCATCCGGGAGCCTGCTTCTCCCTCTGCCTCTGCCTGCCATTCTGTCTGCCTGTGCGCGCTCTCTACCTCTCTCTCTCTGACAAATAAATAAATAAAATCTTTAAAAAAAAAAAAAAAGAAAAAAAAAAAGAAACTGAAAACAGTTGCTGTCTCTGAAGAGAGGAAGTGGGAATGGGAGACAGAGGTGGAGGGAACTGACTTTTCACTGTATATCCTTTGAACCTTTTTTTTAAAAAATATTTTATTTATTTATTTAACAGAGATCACAAGTAGGCAGAGAGGCAAGCAGAGAGGCAAGCAGAGAGAGAGAGGAGGAAGCAGGCTCCCCGCCGAGCAGAGAGCCCGATGCGGGGCTCAATCCCAGGACCCTGGGATCATGACCTGAGCCGAAGGCAGAGGCTTTAACCCACTGAGCCACCCAGGCGCCCCTCCTTTGAACCTTTTGAATTTTATACCACAATCATGTGTTAGCCAAACAATAAATACTTTTATTAACCTTTAAAGATTTTATTTTGAGAGAGAGAGACAGAGAAAGGGCGCATGTGGGGCAAACAGGGAGCAGGGACAGAGGACAGAGGGAGAAGCAGAATTCCTGCTGAGCAGGGAGAACGATGTGGGGCTCGATCCCAGGACCCTGAGATCATGACCTGAACCAAAGGCAGCCACTTAACCGAATGAGCCCCCCAGGCACCCCTCGATCCAATAAATACATTAAAAAAACAAAAGATATCCCATGGACATCATTCCACGGCAGTACATGTAGTACTACATCTTTCTTTTTACCTGCTGCATTGTAGTCCAGTGCCCAGGGATGTTAGTTTATTTACCAGGTATTGCATCATGTGTGAGGAGTTAGGAGAAAAGGAGTATATAGGAGGCCCTAAAGACAGAGCACATGAGTAATGGACCCGCCAAGCGAAAGGTCAGGACACATGCCTTGAGATTCTGGAGACATCTGGAGAAAGCAGTGTGTGGAGAGTACATTATGAGGATGTGCAAAAGGAACATGTGTGAAGGGGCTGTTTCAGGGTGTGCGTGCAGAGCAGAGTGGTGGAGGGAGGAATATGATACGAGGGGATTAATGGGGTTGTCAGTAGGAGGGGCTGCTGTAAAGAATCTGCAGGGAAAATGTTTGTAGCAGCAATGTCCACAACAGCCAAACTATGGAAAGAGCTAAGATGTCCATCAACAGATGAATGGATAAAGATATGTTATATAAATACAATGGAATATTATGCTGCCATCAAATCTTGCCATTTGCAACGATGTGAATGGAACTAGAGGGTAATATGCTGAGCAAAATAAGTCAATCAGAGAAAGACAATTATCATATGACCTCACTGATATGAGGAATTTGAGAAACAAGCCAGAGGATCATAGGGGAAGAGAGGGAAAAAAATGAAACAAGAGGAAACCAGAGAAGACAAACCATAAGAGACTCTTAATCTCAGGAAACAAACTGAGGGTTGCTGTAGGGGAGCGGGTGGGAGGGATGGGGTGGCTGGGTGATGGACACTGGGGATAGTATGTGCTGTGGCAACTGCTGTGAACTGTGTAAGACTGATGATTCACAGACCTGTACCCCTGAAACAAATAATACATTATAGGTTAATAGTAAAAAATAAAAGAAAAAAAGAATCTGTAGGGAAGACTTGATGGAGATGACAAGTAGTGCTGGGGGTGCATCAGGAAAAAAGGCTGTGGGAAAATAACAAATGGAGGCTGAGGGAAGGCAGGCAGAGCAGTACAGTTGGGTCCAGCCACCATAGATAATGGACTTTCAGAACAGGCTGGATCTCAGTTTTTTTCCCCCAGTAAAAGGCATTTGTTAAATTGTAGAAATACTAAATGTAGAAATACTAAATGTATACCTAAGAGTTGTGATTTATAAATTTATTCACCTGAAAACAGTTGTTTTTGGACTGTGTCCTCATTTCAGCCCCAGAAAACAGGGTCCCGTTGTATACAGGGAGGAGATGAGGAGCGGAGAAGTGAGACATGGGTGTGCCTGTGCCTGGTAAGAAGCCCAAAGGATTGGAGGGTACAAATTAATGAACAGAAGGTAGAAGGAGGAAGTGGAAAGGGCAGGACTTCAAGTCAGACAAAGTCAGACCCCGGTAAGGCCCGACATGCTCAGATGATGACCTTGGGCAATCGCTTAACCTCTCTGAACTCCGGTTTCCTCACACACAAATTGGGCACGGAGGTGCGGGCAGAGGACAAAGGAGATGTATGCAAAGCGACAGCGCCGGCTTGGCACCACGCGGCGCCCGGCAGCGCTTGGAAAACCGAGAGACAGCCGGGAGCGGGAGTGTAGACAGGAGGGACCAGGCGCGCCCCGTGCACCTTTCGGGCGCCCGGAGACGTCGGGATCTGGGCCCAGACATTTCCGACCCTGCTGCCTTCCCTTCGAGGAGTGCAAATCCTTGGGGCCGGCTGCAGAGGGTCGGCATCAGCGCCTTCGGCAGCAGGGCCCCCCAAGCCCCGGCCCCGGTACCTGGCGGCGTGCAGCGCCCGCAGCGCCTCTCGGGCGAACTGGTCCGTGCCGAAGAAGAGCACCCGCCAGGGCGGCTTCTCGCGGACTCGGACGCCCCGGCCATCCTCCCCGCCAGGGGACCCTCCAAGCCCAGCCAGCGCTCGCCACTGGGGGCTAGGCCTACCGCCGGGACAGCCACACACGGGCCAAGGCCCCCAACAGCGCCGGACTAACACCCTCATCACCTCCGGGGACGGCCTATCCTGCGCAGGCGCGTCGGGCTAGAAGACGGTGCGCGTGCTCGGCCGGAGGGGCGGGGCCGGAAAGGAGGGCTGATGGGCGGGGTCTGCTGGCGACTGGAGGAGAGGCCTGTGTGGTTTGACGCGGGTCCCACCTGTGTTGGAGCTCATGTAGGAGCTGGCTGGCTCTAGCGTCCCCATGATTTTATTGCATTTGTTTGCACGATTTAGCCAATCTCCCCAAAAGAACTCTTTTGGGAGCAAATCATGTGTTTTCAGACAGTGAAATCTCATTTATTACGTAGTTATGATAATTAATATTTACCGAGTATTTACTGTATGCCTTGCTTTGGCTAGGCATTTTATATCCATTATTTCGGTTAATCCTCATATCAAGCATGCAAAGTAGATATTATCACAGCCATTTTACTGAAGAGAATCCGAGGCTCAATGAAGTGAAGGGAATTATCTACCTAAGCTCCTGACACCTAGTTGATGTTGCTCCAAAGTCTGTGATCCTTCCATTTGGTCTTCATGGCAATCCTCATGTACTAGGCAAGTCAAAGTCCCCATTTTGCACTAGAGGAAACTGAGGCTCAGTTACTTGTTCGCAGTCATTCTGATGAATCTAAGGCCCCAGTCTTGCCCCTGTGGTTTCCCTCCCACACAAAGGGTTACCATATGGGAAATTTTCAGGGGAAAAAAGCAGGGGAAACTGCCCCAAAATAACTGTAAGGAAATTTAATGCTTGGATTCTGTATTCCAGAGGCCCATACAGTGGCCCTCTCGTGTATGATCACACATCTTGTGTATGGCTATAGAGTGGAGACTGGATTTCCTTTCTGTTCTTACTCTTAACCACATTTCCCCATCACACAGTCTTAGACCCCGTGGCCCTGGATCAGTCCTTCTTCCCAAATTATGAGCTCTGCCCATCCCTGCTTCTGTGCCTTTCCTTGCTGTTCTTTTTTTTATTTTAAAGATGTATTTATTTTTATGTTAGAGAGAGAACACATGAACAGGGGGTGGGGTAGAACGAGAGAGAGAATCTCAAGCAGACTTTGAGCCCATCACAGGGCCTGACATGGGCACAGCTTGATCCCAACACCCAGAGATCATGACCTGAGCTGAAACCAGAGTCAGACGCTTAACCCACTGAGCCTCCCAGGCACCCCTGCTTGCAGTTCTTTCTAGACTGCCTTCCTCATATCACTTACCTTAATGACATCCATTCTTCAATACCAAGTTCAGATATCTTCCCAGAAGCCTCGAGCTCTTGCCTGGATGAATTTAATGTGTTTTTCCATGTGGTGCCTCCTTAAAGCTCTGTGGGAACTGCTGCTTCTCACACAATTTGGAATTATTCAAGTAAGCTGTCTGATTATGCATCAACATTGACAAATTCACCTGTGTGTTGAAAAGAGAGAGGCAAGGAGGAAGTGAGAGACTGTATTTTCAGTGCTTCTGCTCATCTAATCATATAGGAAGAGGAGAAGATGAGACCTCAGACCTTCCATGCTTCCAATCAAGTTTTGTTCCAATATCTTCTGTAGTAAGTGGAATAGGATTCTAACATATTTGTTTATTTATTTTAAATATTTTATTTATTTATTTGAGAGAGACAGAGAGCACACACAGAGGGAGAGGGAGAGAGAGAAGCAGACTCCCTACTGAGTACAGAGCCCGACACAGGGCTCGATCCTAGGACGTTGGGATCATGACCTGAGTGAGCTGAAGGCAGACACTTAACCGACTGAAACACCCAGGCATCCCTGATTCTAAAATATTTGAAAATGGTAATTTTCCATACAACACAACTTATAAATGCAACCCAAACAGTCATTTGAGTTTCCACCCTAGAATCTGGCCACTGTCTAAAGTGTGACTCTACCTTTGTGTTTATGTCATTTCGCTCCTTGAGTTAGCCTGTATTATACTACATTTGATTTATTTTCAGCAGTCCGAGGGTCTCCACAACTAGCCCAACTCCCCAGAACTGCTGGAGCTGCTCGCAGGGCCCTTTGCCAACCGTGCAGCAATTGCTTTGTCTGAGGAGCCAAAGCCAATCTGTTTCCTTTCCTCCAAAGGGTTGTCTCCTGCCACTGACATCTTATTTTCTAGGGGATGGTCTTTGATTTGCAGCACACTTCTTTTTAAAAAAACTGAACATGATATTATTGTAATAGCTGAAGTTTTCCCAGGACACTAAAATGGAAATATTTTGGAAACTCATGGTAGTAAGTTAGGAATATATGAGGAAGTCTACTCCCAAGCCCAGGAAAATCCATTGCTGGAGCTACTATAAAGTGTAAGGGCCTACTTAGCCAGAGCGAGCCATTTTGTTGTTTATGCAGTAAACTTAGATTGAACCTGCCCCTTCCCCCCAAGAGGAAAGCACTTAGAAACAGAACTGGTGAAATACGGCCAAATAGCCCCTGATAACGGAGTCCAGATACAAGGACATGTCCGGCCAGGTGGAAACGTCCAATCAAGGGAAAGCGCACGTATTACCTCCCTACCCGCCAAGGACATGTCCGGCCAGGTGGAAACGTCCAATCAGGAAAGCACCTCCCTAACCACCCAAAAATGTGGGCCCTGCCTCTTGGGCACCAATTCTGACCAGAGTGATAGGCTAGTTCAAATAACTACTATAGGGTGAATTGTAATTCAGTTGGCCACCTCTGTGTGGCCAGGCTCAACCAAATGGCCTTTACTCTATAAAAGTTAGTCTGTGAGGCTGGGAGGGGTCGCCTCTTTGCAAGAGACGGCCCTGGCCTGTCAGTTCGCTTCTCGATGCTTGGCGCGAAATAAAGCTTTGCTTGACCTTCGCTTTGTATCAGTCTCGTCCTTTTGTCTACGGACCTTTTCAAAAGCACACAGAGAAGACAAGGACACCAGCCCCTCATGGAAAGGAGTTTTAGGTCATAAATTAAGAATGTCCGGAAAGCACATCCAAGAGGACTGGGCTATACTACTACTCTGGTGCTCCACTTTCCAGAAATTTCTCTCTCCTGATGAACGGAGTATGTATGTATGCTGAATCCCTGAAACTGCTCCAGGTTCTGAATCTGGGTGACAAGACAAGAGCAGCGTTGCCAGAGAGCAAGCCTGCTTGGTGGTAACTGTGGTGATGTTTCAACTTCAAATACTTGGAAACTTAAGTGATGAGAATCAAGTGGAGATGTCTGGTGGAAATCTAGAATGTGGGATTGACCTTAATTTCTGGAGGGTGAGAGAGCTGATCCAGAATGAGAGGAAGCAGGAAGCATCTCCTCTCCCTGGTCCCCATCATCCCACCTTCTCCCCGAGTATGTGTGTATGGTTTCCGAGGAGTGCAGACACCTGCCAGAGAGTCAATAATTTCCGCGTGTGTGTGTGTGTTAGGGAGAGACAGAGAGAGAGAGAGAGAGAGAGCAGCCCTTTGGCGCTGAGTCAAAAAGGAGGAGCAGCAAGAACCCTGGGAAAGAGGCAGCAGGGGCACCGGGAGGAAAATGGTCAAAGTTCTGATTGGTAAAATGACCAATGCCTGAATCCACAAGAATTCCGGAATGTGGTCTGGGAGAAAATGCCACATGTGACTGGAGAAGGTCTACCATACACAGGAATCAGGCCATTGCCAGGGTCAGGAACCCAGCCTTAAGGCGCTGTACAGAGTAAGGTCTTTTGGGATGCAGCGGCTTTGGGAGAAGTTCCATGCACTAGTAACTTCTGCCTGTAGTTGCATCAGAAGTCCGCCAGGGGGTGCTGCTCACCAACATGTCCTGTCATTGAACTTTGATGGACAATTCACCAGCTCCAGCGTCTTTCGCTCGGATTCGGCTGTCAGGGTCGTTACTGCTCACTGTGGTCTCAGAAGACGTTCCTCCTTAAGCTGTCCAGCTGCTCTGCAAAGCGGGACTGGGGCTGCAAGACCATCCGCTGGGGACAGACCGGAACAGGCTGTCTTCCCCTCTAAGCGATTCACTTCCTACAGGCGATGACACAAATAGTAAGGAGGCTATTCTATGCAGCAGACTGTCCCTCGTTAGGAGCCCAGGCGTCTTCCGGCCCCGGGGGAGAATTTAAGAGGCAGCTTGGGCCCGCAGGCCTGGGTATGTTGAGGAGAGAGACTGGAGAAGTCCAGTCATCTGATGGACGTCAGAGTCCCAGGAAGGGAAGGAAGGCAGATGTGGTACTACAGGAATGAGAAGCAGCCTAAGGATAAGGAAGTTTTCCTTTGCTGCTGATAGTTAACCCCAGTAAACCAATTGAAATGTCAAAATAGATGTAGAGAGATTGAATCTTAAAATCTTTGGTTTCCCCCAGGCAAAAGAGCTGTACAATATTAACAAAGGGAAGAGAGACTTCTTTTTATAAAGTACATTTCTTAGTTCTGCAAGGAAGTTGACAAGATAGTAATGCTTCTCACATTTAATGGAACTCCTAATTTGACTGCTCTAGAGTTTGGTAACCATTTACAAAAATTTAGAATAAAGGTCTCAAGAACTGCTGGGAAGGGGCTCTCGGTGGCTCAGTCGGTTAAGTGTCTCATCTGCCTTTGGCTCAGGTGATGATCCCAGGATCCTGGTGTCTGGCTCCCTGCTCTGCCGCTCTGCTGGGATCCTGCTTCTCCCTCTCCCTTTGCCCCTCCGCCTGGCTCATTTTCCCATTCTCTCTCTCTCTCACAAATAAATAAAGTGTTAAAAGAAGAAGAAGAAGAAGAAGCTGGGAAAATAAAAGGAGGAAGAAAGAAACAAGTGTTCAAAAGAGAACAAGTTTTAGTTAATAGAATGTGTTTTAGTTAATAGAATGGAATTTTAGTTAACAGAATGTGTCTGGTTACTAAGACAATATAGGGAATGAAAGATATTCAAATAGCTATTAGGTCAGTCAAAAGAAATCTTTATGTATAGGACTGTTATTTTACTTTTTAAAAGATTTTTTTATTTATTTGAGAGAGAGAGAGAGAGAAAGCAAGCATGGTGGGGAGGGGTAGAAGGAGAGGATCAAAGTCCCAAGCAGAC